AGTTCATATTACTATAATGACCCTTCGAGAAGACAATGCCATAGAATGGTTTGTCGAATTGCACAAATACTTTCATTCCATTCTTCTCACACTTAACATCTAACGAAATTATTTTTGGCATATCTTGTACTGGTGAAGACCATACTTCATTTGTATTTGAAGCGCCAACGCTTAAGTCTGGCAATACTTGTGGTGCATGTATTTGTGGTCCTCGTTGTGGTGGCAGTGGCGGTGGTGGACCCTGATAAGCTAATTGTGATGGCGGCGGTGGTGGACCGAAGGGTTGACCCAAACTCATTGATATACTTTGATGATTACCTATAAGTAAATATAAGAAAGTTTTACATACAATCAAGAAAACGATTGGAATTATATGAATAGATATCATTGCTTGATTAGAATATGTTTAATTAATTTTTGTTAAAAAACAAAACAGCTTTGTTTTTACAATAATTAGCTTACTTCTTGCTGGTCCTGGCTGTTGTTGTTGAATGTTATGCTGGTATAATACTTTCGTTGGTGACTGTGGTTCTTGTTCTGATTCCAATGCTACTTGATCGACTTCATTCTCATGATCGGATATTTCATCTTTATTGGGCTTCACCACTTCTACTTCATCAGCTAATGCAATCTGGAAATAATAAAAGATATTTAGCTTTAGAAATTCTATATTTTTATGAAAATATAAATAGAAATATGAAATATAACAATATGAATTATGGCAATAGTCTCAATTAAATTTAAATTTTTTTCCTACTCATTGCTTTACACTTTATGATCTATCATGCATAAAGCAGAACATAATGAATGTCCTAATATATATCTGTACTATGTACTCTGTATATATCAAACTCAGTATATTCAGTTTAGTTCCTACTTTATGTAAAATCGAATATAAAGCACTCCGTAATTAGATTTAGAAGTCTGTATGAATTTAAATAGTTAATGGAGCAGAGATCCGCAATCTTTTTTGATTTTTTTATAACAACCAAATGGATTTTCTTTTGAAAATAAAAACCATAATATTCCTCATTGAAGAGTTCTTCACATTAAGTGAAAATAAGAGTTCCCCCAGCAGTATTGTCCTCCTGGTTCAGTTTAAAGCCTGATAGTTATAAGCAACTGCCTAGTAGTGTCATTTACTTGTAGAGGAGATATTCTGTCAACTCGGACATAAGTTGTTAAGATGGTAGCGCAGATTAAGATGAACTGTTAAGTTATTGAGTATCTAGTATTTCAATGAGGCTCAGAATATTTCTTTTTGAGGAACTTTAATATCAGGCGGAAATAGCTGCGGCAGCAACAAAACCGTTCTGTTGGCCCAGATCAAATTCTTTTTCAATTTCTTTATACAGGTAAACGATACTTATTAGTAACGAAATATAAATTAAGCAACAATGTGGATGTTGACGGTGGTGTTACAACGGACCATTATTTATACTTAACGGAGCTTTCATGTAGAAGCCTACTGCTTCAACTTAGTCAAACATAAAGAGCAACTGTAAAATATCACCTTATAAGCATTAGTATTAACAGTAACATGAATACTAATATTACTGGTAGTCATCCATGCGGATAATGGGGACTTGCGTCAACCCACCGGAGGTGTGTATCTGGTACAGAGAAGATCAGTTCTCGTAGCTTTTGCTGACCTGACCAATTGAATTTAGCAATGGCTGTGGGTAACCTCCAAAGCTACGCGTGAAAAATGATTACATATATTTACTTGAGTTGCGTTTTCATATCGGGTACTGTGGCCCACAGATCAAGAATGGTCGAATGACCTTGCTCCTTTCCAAGAGGGAAGTTATGCTTAACACATAACTTTAAGAAAGAATTCCTTGGAATTTAAATGGGGTATCTATTGTCGCAATCTCTTGATATGTGTGTTTAGAACACAGTGGTGTTGAGCCAACAAGGCAGGTTGGCTCTAAAAACTGAGGACATCTCTTACTGGTGGTATCTGCATTAAGTTTCCTCTTTAGTTAAAACTTTTTATATTCATTTAAGAAACAAAAAACAAGATAGTTTTTCCTATAATAGATAATATCCGGATGTAGGCGATATCTAAACTTCTATTATGTTACATAATAATAAACGGAATTCTGAGATAGACAATGAAAGCCACAGACAAATGTGCTAGTTTCGCTTTTGTGATTGTAAAAATTCAGTCATTATTAAACGTGTTCTCCTTGCATGTCAGCTTTTAGTTCCTTCTTAGCAATTGAGTTCAAGGCTAATATAATCGTAAATAAAATAGCAATTGGCCAATATCGTAGAAGTGGCACGGCACATTCAAGAAAAGATTCAAGAAAAAATAAAGATATAACTCAGTTTCATTCACAATAAAAAATTTCGCATTTTCATTTCTTACTTTATTGGCGACAATTTATCTTAAACTGAGTTGACAACTTTGCTGGCTATTGGTGACGAGCAGCAATCAGCAATAAGCAATCTATCAAGCTGCAGTAGACATATCAAAATGCCAGTCGAGCCGGAGACTGCCTGATGAGGTAGTGTAGCAATGGCAATGAAAACGCGTTCATGTTGGCGTAGAGAAATGCGTAGATTTGCGATATACATAGATACAATGGACTGTATTAGTTTGGTTGGACAAAAAAAGGTTGATACATAAATCTTTCAAGATTGCTACGTTGCTGTAGGTTATAATTAATATGCTTTTTATGAGCTCTGCACTGCACATACTATATTGCAGAATTAAGTAGTGAAAATCTTGAAGGAATTTTTATGTTACCATTTGTGTATTTGGCTCGCAACTCTGATTTCTTTCGCCAATTGTAGATGTCACAACAGACGGAACTGCAAACTTGCGTGCTGAAAAAGGTAATTTAATAAAACCGCATACAAAAGTATGACAATTTCATTTTAGTTTTTATTTATGATATTTTTTTTTCACTTTATTTTATACTATTTTTTTTTTTTTTGTTAACTTATGTGAATACCAATTGGTTAAGATAAAAATATCTATCGTTCGTGCGTGTGTATGTCGTTGCGTACGTACTGCATTATGAAGCCGCATAATTTATTACAAATTAAACAGATTTTCAGATGGTCATTCTCACTTTAGACGGTTACAGCAAATATGTAGCACTTCATCCATTAGCATAAGCACATGCGGCACAGTGGACATATGCGCAGACAAGATCACTTCTCTGAAATCAGTGAAACATATATGCATAAAGACAACTTTCTCTCCCGACAACATAATCGACGAAATCCAGTAATAGCGAAAATGTGAGATTCAGTAAAAATTAAAATACTTATTTTCTCCTAAATTTAATATATAAAAAGGAAATATGCATTAAACTACTTATAAGACAGCAACAAATATTACAAATAATGTATATCCTTTAACAAAAAATAAATAAAATACAATAAAATAAAATAAAATTCAAAAAATAAAAAATTTAAGAAATTTCCGAAAATAAAAACAAAAACAAAAAAATTAAAATTTAAATGAAAATGAAAAAATCATTTTAAACAGGTTCAGGCAGTCATACGCATTAAAAGCGATTCTAAAATACGAAATTTATATGCTTAACACGCCAAAATGATCATTCGATCGTTATGATATGACCAAAACGCCACCATCAGACGGCGCACTAATGCATAATATCGTAGATCGCAGCACCGCAAGTGTATCTTCTAGATACAAATGTAAGCAAGTTGGTACGTGGATACGCGAATGTGTCAGTGGTGTGCCATTGAAAAAGTTGTTGCCCCAATTTCATGTGGATTTGTCTTACCATTCAATCCAATCAGCATAAATGTGTAAATGTCGCCCAGTGCGGCACGCAATTGCCATTTGGCCAAAAAATACGAGTACATAAAAAACCGAAAACCGAAAACTAAAAACCCAAAACTAATAAAATAAAAAAATTAAAAAACTATAAAATGCAAAAATACAAAAATACAAAAATAATCAAAAAAAGTAAAATTGATCCAATCTGATTTTCCATTCGGTGGCCAAACAAGTTGCGGCTTACTTTGTTTCGGGTCTTTTTATTTTCGGCGCTGATTGCTAATATGCGAGAGTTAATTCGAGGTGGAAATTAAGGAGGGATTTTTAAATTGCAGTTAATTAAAATTTTTTGTAAATCTTGTCAAAAGTTCGATGAAAGAAAAAACAACATTGACAAAAGAATTTTATCTCAATTAGTTGAAAACAGGAAATAACAATCTCTTTTTTATAGTGAAATGGGTCACTTAAGGATTGTGTCGAAAATTTCGTGGAACAGCGTGTTTTTTTTTATATCTCTTACTCAGCGGTAGATTTTACAAGTAGAAAGTTATTAAACAATAGTTAATTTACAATAATTTTTAGTTTTTCGTTTAATTAAACTAACAACTTTTTTGTCATATAAATATTTTATGGTTGGAATATCTCCAATATTGAAAACTAAAGATAGTTTATAAAAACTAAAATCTAATAATCGTATGTGATTATTGCTCTACTAATTATTATAAAAGAAAATTTAATAGCAGTAATATCAGTAATAATGTCAGTAATATTGTTTAATATCGTGTATACGCACCATGTGACTTCACATCATGAAAAATGCCTTCGTAGCTCTGTTGCCAATTGAGCCTTTTACCAAGGATAGCACAGAGATTTGGTTGTTTTATCAAATAAAACAACTTTAAACGGTAGTAGTATCGTTCTGCTTGGTTTAATGGTAAACCCTATTTTCTTCACAGTAGTAATCTCATTTCCTTGTGTGCATTTTTTGGGTCTCTTCAATTCGAGAAATGAATGTACATTTCTGTTAGTAAAAAACCTCGGACTTGCCAACACCGCGTTATCAAATCTCGGAAAGGTTATAGGCTCCTAGGGGAGGTATGCAGATCTGAGGTCCATTACTGCTTAGTCTGTTGAAGTGATAAACAATATTCCAGTCAAGGCGTAAAGAGGGATTTTAAAAATACCACGAGTTAAGGAAGAGTAAAAGTGCTCAAGTGCACTGGCTCAAATAGAAATAAATAAATAAATAAAAACCCTCTTGATAAGGTTATCTGCTTGAAGGTATACAATAAAGTCATGTTCTTAATACAAGTTTAACACTAATTCATAGTTAGAATCCAGAATAGTAGGGACGGTATTTAGTGGAGTTTTAGCGGACAGTCACTTAGAGTTATGTTTATAGCTTCAGATAACTTATACTTTATTGTAGAATTAATGTCCAACTTTATTTCAGTATTGTTAAGAAATGTTTATGTTGCAGTATGATTTGAATAAATACTCAGTATTGCTGTATCAGAACCTAAGTCACTTCTCTACTGTATATCACCTAGAATAAGATAACTGTCAGAACTAAGATTTCATTTCTATTGAAATTTTAAATAAATTATTTATCGTTATAGTTATTTCAATACGATCGTTATTATCCTATCGAAAAATTAAAGTAAATAATTTACGTAAATTATGATTAAATATATCATAAAAAACGCAAAATATAAATTATTTATATTAGATCTCTACGGAGACTATAGAATAGGGCTATCAAAAAAGGCATGTACGCGGGCTAATATAAATTACTGTGCAGATTGGTGGGCCGCAGAAACATATTGGGATATGGTGTCCCAATAAAATAATGTAATTTTACCAAAATA